AGCAGCATCAGAGGAGCAGGAGGGTCTAGGCCCGAAACGTCAGCCTTCCTGCTCCTCTGATGCTGCTTGGCCTGCTGTGTTCATCCAGCTCTACACCTTGTTTTCTTAAAGGATTTGACAGGATCAACATAGAAATGTTGTTTCCCCTTGTGGGAAAGTCTAAGATAAGATAAGTCAAAATAAGCAGTTGCACATTGAAGATATAGTTGAGGAGGAATTTCTTCTCTCAGTGGGTCATGAATCTGTCGACCACTTTATCATGAGAGGGTGTTGGGCCATCAAGTATATTCAAGGTGGAGATAGATTTTTAATCAGTGAGGAAACCAAGAGTCATGGGGAAAAGGCAGCAAAGTGGATTTGAGAATGATCAGATCAGCGCTGATCTCTTTAAAAAGCAAAGCAGACTCAATGAGCTGAATGGCCTACTTCTGCTCCTATGTCCAACAGTCTTATTAACCAACAGGCCATGTGAAGAAAGTGGCAATTTTTAAAACGGGAACTAAAACAAGAGCAGATGTTCTTATTGTGAATGCATGTTTTATCTCCAATCACTCACGGATTAGCTCAACAGGGGGTCCATTTTCACAGACTGAAGTGGCTTGTTTGCTTTGGTTAATTAACATCATTATGAGATAAAACTAAGTTATTCTTTCTTTGAACTGTTTCATTTAATGTCTGTGAAGTGAAGTAAAGCTTCTTAATGGTTCTGTTTGATTGACAATCTTATAGGATTGTAAATGCAAGGAGACTTTCTAAAACTGTGACTTTTAAAAAAAAACTTCATTCCATTTTGGGTTGACACGGTGACACAGTGGCTAGCATCGATGCCTCACAGTGCCAGGGACCTAAGTTTGATTCCAGCCTTGGGCAACTGTCTGTGTGGAATTTGCACATTCTCCTCAGTCTACTTGGGTTTCCTCCAATTGCTGTGGTTTCCTCCCACAGTCCAAAGATGTGCAGGTTAGGTGTACTGGCCATGCTAAATTGCCGAGATGTGTCCAGGGGTGTGCATACTAGGTGGATTACCCAAGGAAAATGCAGGGATAGCGTAGGGTAAGTGGGTGGGTCTGGGTGAGATACACTCCAGAGGGTCAATGTGGACTTTGTGGGCCGATTGTCCTACTTCCACACTGTAGGGATTCTATGATCTAAGATCCATGATAAATTTTGGCATTGTTATTACTGGGCTCATTGGTTCTGCAGTGAATACTAGTAAGGTGGGCATGGAGGATACAGGGGATTATGATTATGGAGGGATTATGGGCATTTGAGGGTAGTATGAGAGCATTGAGTGCATGGAATAAGCTTGGGTCTGAGAGGCAGGGTAGGGACGTGAGGACTGGAGGTGGAAGAGGGTGAGATGATGGCAGAGTTGAGACTTGGAGGGCCTATGAGCCTTTAATACAACTTGAATGAAGTTTTAAAGAATTGCAGTGGACCTTCTAACAAGTCAATCTGTTTCAGATCTCCAGCATCCATTGTTCTTTGTTTTATGTTAATCTGACTAGATAGCTGACGTGTTGTTCAAAATTATGCCAACAACATGGATTTGATTTCTGTTCCAGCTGATGGGAATTGGGACCTGCCTCCTTTTCCTTCACTGAAAATGGAAGGCAATGGTAAACCACGACTGCCAAAAAAAAACTGCTAGGGAAATAGCCTTTTGGCAGGCCACAAACTAACCTAAGAGTTGTAATATGATATATTTCTTCCTGCATCGTGTGCTTTTCACTCAGTATCACAGCTGCAAAGTGAAAAGAAGAAAAGTGTGCCTAGGATTGAAGACCGTTATGGATCAGCAAAGTCACTGATTAACATCTTTTGTCTTATGAACTAGACTCTGGAAAGTGAGACCGTCACATCGGCTGAGAAATGCTCCATATGTATATGTGTTAACTGGGCTGGAATTTCTACTGAAAGATAAAGGAACTTAGAATAATGTTTTCTTTTAACCAATTGTAATTTGAAATTTCAATTGCTAAGTTTTAACTAAAATTAGTTTATTAAATTTATAGTGGAAAAATAAACTTGCACACATGCACAAACCCTAATATCAACAACTGAATGTTTTTACTAATGCTTGAGGAAAGAAATAATCCTGTGAAATAGAGCTGGGCAGTTCAGTGGTAATAACAAGTCGAGCTGTTTTTGCTAGAGTTGTATTTATTTATTTGTAAATAGTAAGTATTGGCATTTTACTTTCTATGCTAGTGTGTCACTTTAGGAAAGAAATTTCAGTTTTGAAAGAGATCTGAAATGAGTGGTGTCAGATTGGTCAACTGTTAAACATCCCTGACAACTTTTCTTTCCATCATCATTGTGTCCAATGAACAGCACCAAGCTCCTTGCACTACCAAACTTGACTCCAGTCATGACTTGTGTTGTTGTATTTCTGTTGGGGAAAAAAAAAGCTATTTTTCTTATATGTAGTCAAGCAATTCAGTTGATAGTGGAGGTAAATACCAAAGTGGCTGCTTCACTTTGTTCCCATGATGAGTTTTTACAGATAAGATGAGAAAGAAATAGGAGAATTGTGGGTAACAGGAATGTTTGCTGGTGCTACTTGTAGTTAGCTACTAAAATATAGATAGTTCAGTCATGCACTCAAGAGGTGTAATTTTAACATGCTTTAATGAAATCTATCTAACTTATATTTGAAGTGATTACTTCTGCTTTCTCCCCAAGGAGCCTGTGCTATGGATTGACTATTTGTTCACTGAAATATTGTTTTGAATGAGCAGAACTAGTGCATAAGTGACTGGAAAATTAGCCATATTGCAGAGACTCCACCTGGGGGATCTGAATAATGGGAACTATAAAGGGTCTGAGAGATGAATTGGCAAGGATGGACTGGGGAGCCTTCTTAAGAGTTGACAGAATGTGGGGTATATGAATTACAACAATTATTTGTTCCTATCTAATACAAAAAAGGAAAAAAAGATAGCTCAACCATAACTTGCAAAAGAAATTAGGAATAGTGTCAGATCTAACCAGGAAACGTAAAATTGCCAGAAAAGGCAGCAAGCCTGAGGATTGGGAGCAACTTAGAATTCAGTAGAAGAGGACAGAAAGCTTTATCAAGAGGGTGAAAATAGAATGCATGGGTAAAATTGCAGGGAACATAGAAATTGACTGCGAAATTATTAATGGGGAACAAAGAAATGACAGAAAATTAAACCCATATATTAGTAATGTCTTCACAAACGAGAGCACAAATAAAGAAATATTTGTGAAAGAGCATAGTTGAAGGAAATCAGTCGTTGTAAGAAAATAGTGCTAGAGAAATTAATGCAGTTAAAGGCTAACAAATCACCAGGGCCTGATAATCTACATCCCAGAATACTTAAGGAATATTGTGTACATTGCCTGTGATTTTCCAAAATTGTATAGATTCTGCAGTAGTTGTACAAATTGGAAGATGGCAAATGTAACCCCACAATTTAAAAAGGTAGGGAGAGAAAAGACAGAGAATATAGATCAGTTAACCTAAAATCATTAGTACAAAAAATGCCAGTCGATTATAAAAGACGTAATAACAAAAAACTTGGAAGTCATTTACAGGGTTGGACAAGGCCAGCATGGATTATGAAGGGAAAATTATGCTTAATAAATCTACCGGAGTTTTTGAGGATATAACTAGTAGAATAAATATGGAAGAACCAATGGATGTGCTTTATTTGAATTTTCAGAAGGCTTTTGATAAGGTCCTACAAAAGAACTTACTGGGCAGCATTAAGGCACATGGTAGAGGGGTAATATATTGGCATGAATTGATGATGTGGAGTTGCTGGTTTTGGACTGAGGTAGACAAAGTCAGAAGTCACATGACACCAGCTTATAGTTCAACAGGTTTATTTGAAATCACAGGCTTTCCAAGTGCTGTTCCTTCACCAGGTGAAATCACTTCACCTAACAAAGGGGCAGCACTCTGAAAGCTTGTGATTCTGCATAAACCTTTTGGGCTATAGCCTGGTGTTGTATGATTTCTGGCATTAATTGAAAATTGGTTGACAGACAGGAAACAGGGAATGGAAAGAAATAGGTCTTTGAGGGTGGCAGGCAGTGACTAGTGGAGCATGGCAATGGTCACTGCTTGAGCCCCAGCTATTCACAATATATATAAATGACCTGGATGAGGGACCCAATGTAACTTTTCTGAAGTTTGGTGATGACACAAATCGGACAGAATTGTGTGCTATGAGGAGGATGCAAAGAGTCTTCAGGGTGATTTAAACAAGATAAGTGAGTGGTCAAATACATGGAAGATGCAGTACAACATGGCTCAATATGATATTATATACTTCATATGAAAAACGGAAAGACAGAGTACTATTTCAATGGTGTTATATTGGGAAATGTAGATGTGCAAAAGAGGTCTGAATGTCCCTGTATACTAGTCATGAAAGTAGACAGGTGCAGCGAGCAGTTAGGAAGCTAAATGATATATTGGCCTTCATCGCAAGAGGATTTGAATTCAGAAGTAAGGGTGATTCACTACAATTATATAGGGCCTTACTGAGACCATGCCTCAAGTATTATGTGCAGTTTTGGTCTCCCTATCTATGAAAAGATACACTATAGAGTTGTGCAGTATAGGTTCACTAGGCTGATATTGGGAATGGCAGAACTGTTCTATGAGGACAGATTAATTCAACTGGGCCTGTATTCACTAGCGTTTAGTGGGGATATAAAAGGGACAGATTAGATACATGGAGAATATTTTCCCGGTTGGGCAGTCCAGAACGAGGGGTCACAGTTTCAGGATGTCGGGTAAGCCATTTACGTCTGAGTTGAGGAAAAAGCTCTTCCTTGAAAGGGTAGTGAACTTGCAGTAGGAGTAGGGAATCTCTACCACAAAAGGCTACGATTACCAAGTCACTGAGTATATTTAAGGAAGTTGATATATTTTTAGATTTTAAAGGTATTAGGGAATATGGGGAGAAAGCAGGAATATTGTGTTGAAATAGAAGATCGGCCATGGTCATATTGAATAACAGAGTAGCTCAAAGAGCTGAATGGCCAACTCCTGCTCCTTGTTTCTATGTTTCTGTGGCCATTAAATTTATTATGCAGAATTACATAGCTTAATCTATAGATATAATCTAGGCATTAATTCATGTTATATACCTGAGTTAAGAAGGTTGACAGATTGCAGCTAGTTGCAGAGCAGAATGACGCCAGAACAAAGATCATTAGATTATCTTTTCTTTATAGCTGTGGCTGCTCTTTGTGTGTCTTCAATGGCATTACCTAACAATTGGTAGATTATCCAACTTGATATGCTTTAGGTACAGAATTAAAAACAAAGTTAAATTTCTTTACATGTTTTATGCAACACAAAAATATCTAGTAGCAGAGAAAGAGACCCAGAGCTGTAGACTTGATACTGTTTGGATCACTGCCCCACTTGGAGTTAGTCAGATTTTGTGGGGTATTCTTCCTAGCTCCAACTTTGGCTTTGTCTTGTGGTGTTCCAGGTAGATGGGTTGAAGCAATAATGAAGTTTTTTCCCCATACCACTCAATATAATTTCTATTTGGCATTTCTAGTCTTAAATTGAACATGTAGATCTATGCCTTTGGTTGGATTGGCTCTAATTTTGTTGTAAAGTAGACTGTTTGTTGTATATTTTATCCACCTCTGGCTGACTAGCTCTCATTATGCAACTTATTGACTAACTCCATAATGTCAATAGACATTTGTGATATAGAATTGTGTCAGATCAGCCAGACATCACTCAGGGTTTCTTCAATCCTGAAGAAGTCTGCTTAAAGCCATTACAGAAAATCAGCTGCATATAGGAATTTTCTCATACCAGAGTGGACGGGTTCGTCATCAGAATAATGAGCAACATTACTCCCAGCACACTGCCTCGAGGAATGCCATTCTGCTCTCTCTGTCAAAGGCTTTTGTTTGCTGCAAAATTCTACAAAAAAAATGGCAATTTGCTAATAAAATTCAGATGAACTCTGTGTGAGAGCTACATCACTGCTTCTGTCAAGCTATTAATCAGCCTGTGAATCCTTTTACGACTTAACACTAGTCCGGTTATTAATGACTTAAAGTCAATCGACACCTTTAAAAGGCAGCTGAATCAATATTTGTTGAGAAAAGGAATTGAGAAATGTAGAATGGATACATGAAAAGCACTGCTGATGTGGAAAGAATAGATTGAGAAGAATGGGAGGAAAGAGCTCTGATAGAATAAAAAGCTTTAAAAAGCAAATGTCTTTTACTCACTCTGGATTTTCTGCCTATTCAGTGACTATGGGTAGAAAATGCAGAGCTTATGTTTTTATTTTAACTGCCTAAGGTGGCTTTGTGCCTGCCAGTCTGAATATCTCAAGTTGGCCAAAGATGTAAATGGATTGATTTTAAATTGAACTGTTTCAGTTTAAAAGATGTTAACTGAATATGTGACTGCATTGCATTCTGTTTATGAGAAAGTGGCTATTAAATATTGACACTAATTGCTTCCTTTTTAGATTAAGACATGCAATCACCTCTTGTTTATTTTCTTCAGGTTGATTGTTCATTTTTTTTATTGTATTACTAAAGACCACACAACAAATTATATCTGCTTTATATGTTGTATTTTTAGTTTTGAAAATGTGACATTGTAAAACACATTTTAATTATTCCAAGAGGTTTCACATTCAGTGTATTCTATTTATTATACTTACGTCTTATTTTAGTCATTAGCTAGATATCATGATATTACTTTTTTTTTGAAAAAAAAGAGATCCAAAGAGCTCTGTCAAGTTTCTCAAACTGATGGTTATGTCCTTATGATTTGGTTTCCAGTTTCTAACTTTTGAACAATACAAGAAGATATTAAGTTATGCCTCATTGCCTTCTGGTGTGGTAAGTACACAAATTGCAGTTCTTTCTATTATTAATACATCCAGTTAAGGTAGTGATAAACATTTTATTAATAGGCATTTCCCTAAAGATGTTGACACAAATGTGAATAATTTATTGTTACAGTGTTCAACAATAAATGGTTCTTTGACGCAACACATGGTTTCATTTAAATCCCTTTGTTAGTATTAGTTAAATGTCATTTCCCTTCTAAAGACTTCAATTAAAGACATTTTTATGTTATTTAAGTTACTTTCAGGTCAACCAATTCTCTGTATACTGTTAAGTTTTATAATAATCCAGTAAAATGTCTGCTGGATTTATTTCACTGTAGATTTGCTCAGGAGTTGTCACTCAGTACTGGGATTAGTATCTTTGTTTCTTGCATTCCTGCTTTCATCTTCCTGTTTACCTGTAGGTGTGTACATACGTGCTGAACAGAGCTAGGTGAGGAGAAACTTTTACGGGAAAACCTGCTCAGCAGCTAAGTCATGGCACAAAGCCAAATTGTTTTGTCGTAAGCTTGCTGACTGATCAATCACTAGGCTTGTGTGCAGGCTTTCAGGAAAAAGGTTCTGTTTTTTGAGCACTCAGGGCATGTATCATTGTCTGGAGGGGCCTCACAAAATTGCAGGGATCCAAGGATATATTGCTGCAGGAACTTTTAAATGTTATGTGTAAATTAAAAATCAATGACAAAAAAAATGACTACAACTCATGAAGTTTAAATCTGATCTTCATTCCTTCAGAGAGAATTGCTGAGTTAATACTTCTGTACTGGTATGTACAAAATTATAAGCCATTTTGTCTTAACTGTAGCTCACGTGGTAGCACACACACCTCTAAATGAGAAGGTTTCAATTCAAGTTGCACTCCGGGGCTTCAGCACATAAAAACTGGGTCATATTTGCCACCATGCAACTGTAAAGGATGCACTTACCACATATGCAGTCACAGTGCCTGGCATGTCATTGCCAGTCACTATGCAGGGAGCTTTCTTTATCAACTTGAATGCTTTTGATACCTGCGAATTGCTGGCCCATTCCCAGCCTATCTTTTGCCACCTCACTCAGCTCCCATTCACTACTCATCTTGTTGACTCTCTGACAGACCAGTTCCATACTTTTGAGCTCTTGCTGTCTCATGTATTGTATCACTGAATGTCCTGCTCCCTGAGCAGGGTGGTGAGGAGAGGGCAGCAAGTAGTGAGGCAAAGGGGGTACAGCGAGTATGACGTGATTGGGGTAGCAAGAAAAGAGGTGAGCTGAGCAGTGAGAAAGTGCAGTGAGTGATGAATGCGTGGCAAGGGTAGCAACAAGCAAGGAGGGTAAAGCAGAGAATGGGGTGGTGAGTAGAGTATCAAGCAGCAACAAATTTGACCCCTCTGAGGAAGGGTCACCAGACCCGAAACGTTAACTGTTTTTTTTCCTTCACAGATGCTGCCAGACCTGCTGAGCTTTGCCAGCAACTTTGTTTTTGTAAGCAACAACAAATGCCTAACAATGACATCCCTGGCATGACTTCCTGTTTCAATGCAGTATGGGTACACGGTAATGACATCAATGGCACTACACTAGCTCTTCCAGTGCCTTTGGCAGGAAATATTGTGCAAAAAGTACTTCAGTGCAGAACCAAGTGACCATTGCAATGTTGGATATGCTGTCTTTCAGTCGAGATGTTAAACCAAGGACCGATTTGTTTGGTCAGGTGGTTGTAAAGATCCCGTGGCACAATTCAAAGAAGATCAGGGGAGCTATTTCCAAAACATCTGTCCCTCAGTCAAAACAGATAAAAGCAGACTATCTGTCATTATTACATGGTTAACCACACATGTAAAATTGATCAAATTTGACAATTAGCCTGTGATGCAACACAACCAAAGCAGAAATTATGTAGTGGACAAGGTATGATATCTAGCGTTATCTACTTTTACAAAGCAATATTTAGTGGGGTCTAAAGGAGTGGGATTTGTTGTTGCAGGGCGACTTATTTAAGCAGGATTTGTTTCTTGGTGGCGGTTTAGAGCTTAAGCCAATGGTATTGCGGTTACGAATGGGGCCTCAGGCTTTGTGGTGGCGGCTACTTCCTATTTTCAATATTTGTATCTCATGATTATGTTAAAACCTTTTAAAATTAAGTCTTAACTTCAAGATTAAATCAACACAACATGGAAAATTCATGGCATCACACAATTTCATAATCATTTAAAGATGGCATGTTTCAGTTGAGTTTGTCCATTTTGATTGACAAGAGCAATTGTTTTTTATGGAAATCTGCAGCACAAGAGATGGGAGCAGGAGACTGTCAGTTGGGATAGAGTGTCAGGAGGACAGTTGTTGAATTGGGGAAGTGTGCAAGAGAAGATATTTGGATCAGGCAAAGAAAGGATCATGAGGGAATCAAAAGAAGGCATTGGACCGTGAAGGGGATTATGAGGTAATTGAATGGGGAGTTTTCCATGCCTTGAATTGGAATGAGAAGACAAGGTGAGAGTTTTTTTTTATTTGGAAGTGTTGTTTGGGTATTGTCAGGGGAGAAGGTAGTTAATGGTGGTCACCAGAGTGAAATGAGAGCCTAAAGTGCTTTTCAACATCAGGTCTTAGTTGTCAACAGGAGGACCCTATCATGGGGAAAGTTCACAATTATGGAGGAAGGTCAGTGCACTACAGGAGAAGTAGGGATGATTCAAGGTCTCATAGGGCTATCAAAAGTCAAGGCATTGCAAAAATATATCACTGATGTTGGGGGAGAGCGTCTTGGATCAGAGGAGGTTGGCTCGGGGGTAGGATCAATGTGAAGAGATGGTCTGTTTGCTGTTATCACAGGATCAAAAATGATAATGGGAGGTTTGAGGGTGACTAGGGAAGGTGGCACATTGATGTTTGGGGGGTCGGGAGTGATGGGCTCAAAGTCAAGAGGGTGGAGGCTGACAGGTTCCAGAAGGAAGGTGATTCTTTCTCTACCGTTGCTACAAACCAATAGTGAAAGTGGCCCATGGGTAGATTCAAAAGCTTTATTGCTCAGGAGGAATTCTAATAAAGCATTATAAACAATGAACACAAGCATATCAGCACATCGTCAGAACTGGAACTAACTACCTACAAATGTTTAGGAGGTAATGCCAGATACGACTGAGACTGTCCTGGAAAACAGCCCTAGAGGTATGTGGGATCCTGAAACAAGGCCTTTGGCCTGTGGATTTTGTGGGAACTCCATGCCAGCGAGCTGCAGGATGACTCAGTGTTTGCCAGTAGTTTCCAGGACTTCATAGACGATGTATGGTATTTCACAGGCTGCCACTCATGGATGCATAAAGAGATGACCAATGCCATCTTTTGTTATATGAATTATTTATCCACTGATGTAGACAATGAAGTGGCAAGCACATTGGGACTTGGGGCCTTCACTGATGTCCTAGAGGGCAAGAGGTCAACAATTACACTCATGTTGCCAATAAAGCTGCGTGGAATCAGAGGCATTTATGAAACAAGGGCTTTCAGTTTTTAAACATGCAATTGGTCTGCTACACAGACAAAGAATTGTTCATGTCTGTGCTTATTTCCAGAAAGTTCTCATGGCTCATACATTTTTCAAACTCACATGTCCCAAAACCTTTTGAGGTCTTTTGATGGCTGGAACTTGGATGACACTGGCTACAGTATTCCCACAGTGCTTGGTTAATTACACATGTAAAGGTATCCTGACTGTGCAGCGGAAAAGCAATATAATGCAGCAAACGACTCCACTAGAACAATCAATGAACAAACCGTCCGCACATCAGAAGTGTACGTTGGTTACCCTGGCAGTGTGCATCACATAGAATAACATGAATAGCTGTGGTCTACTGTAAACTGCACAACTTGGCCATTTAACATGGAGAACTGTTACAATAGCATACAAGGAAGAAATAATCCTTCTCCTCATAGGACAATGAATGACATGAACCTGAGTCCCAGGGCCATGGGGAGATGTGCAAGGGTTGTAAAGAATACCCTCATACATATCCAATTTGCCCCAAGATTGAGATAAGTATCTGAAAATATTCCAATTTTGGGACCTCCATTGCCTGTTCGGGATGTTAACTAACCTCTACCAGCATCCATCTCAGAGCTACATCTAAACTTGCATTCTCTGCCATCTGAAAGATCAAAAGAAAGGATCATTGTCGTACACAGGAGCATTGATCCTTAGGATACTTGTTTTGCACTTGGACATGTGTCAGTCATCATGACTGAAAATTCAGATTTTTCACCATTGTTGCAGGGCCTTTAGTGAAACTAAAACATTTTCTTATTTTCGCTTAGACTTTTCCAATGTTGAGATAGATCTTCTTCAGCTGGCTAGACTCCGTGTTATTCAGATGTCTTTCTCTGAATGCTTTCACTGGCTTGTAAGAAATATACAGAGTGGCCGATTCACTCAGAAATTGTCTTTGATTTATGAATTAAAATGTCACAGCTTACAGCAACTGCAGCAGGAAAGATAACTAGTTTTCTTCAGGTTTAAAGTGAGTTTTTGACTGCAGAGAACAAGCAGCCTCTGGGCTGGGAGAAGGTCTGCACATCTCTCTCTCTTTCCCTCTCTCTCTCTCTCCCCCCCCCCCCCCCCCCAGCCTTTTCTCTCTCTGACATCTTTTTCTCTCTATCTCTATCTAATTGTCACTAGTCCATGGACCAATCAACTTCTTGTTACCAAGCAGAGCTGCATCAATAAACACCCCAGGCTCCAGATCATTTGTAATCTGAACTTTGATTACTGCTTGTTCAAACAATTGTTTACACTACCAGCCATGGGCATCATGTTACTTGCTTTCAAAATTGCAGCCACTCTTTCAAACACTGGATTTTAAAAACAGTCCTTTCTCATTTCAGTACCCAATTTTTAAAAAGACATAGTCTTTACAGAACAGTGAAGTGAACACTGAATATAACTGAACACAAACATACATAATTTACTCCATGCTAAAGGAAATGTTCCTAACTCCTGTAGCCATCAATGAGTAC